CTATGTTAGGAAATTTTCATCTTAGGATGTCGCGCCCAACGATATGTGGTTGTGGAGGTTATCCAATAGGTTCAGTGGGAGGTGTATCCCCTCGCTATCATCATTTCTGGGCTTGTCCGGTGGCACAGGCAGTAGCAGATCAACTTACTCTTTCAATAGGAATGCCAGTCTCAAGGAAGCAACTTTGGCTTATCCAAGCCCCACAATCAGTGCAACAATGTGTTTGGGATGTTGTGGCTCTTGCTGCGGTGTCAGCCATGGAGCATGGGAGACGTTATATGGCTGCAAACATGTAAACCAACCCGGCACTGTTACCTGGCCCTTCCCTTACGGAAGAAGCAATTTGTCGAGTTATTGTTGACTTTTGGGGCCGCATTCAGGGTTTCGCAGCTTTGGGAATTCCACGGAAAGGTTGGGATTCCGTTGGCGCACATCACCCCTTCTTGAGAATTATATCTGGCAAATTGCTGTGCTCGCGAGAGCGGTTACCGATGAGAGGTTAATTATCTGAGGTGATAATCTTTTGGTATATTAGTCTCTACTGCAGTGCACGGCCAGCTGGCCCGATGGCTCTACTCTTCGGGAGTCTGGAGCCCACTGTAACAACCACACACACACACTCCCCAAAAGGCCGCAACCGAATGTATGGTTATCCTGGTTTGGCTACCTCAAGAGTTTCTTAGCTGCAGACATTTTCCTCTTTGTTACATCATAAAGCCGCATGGGTGCGAGTCTAAGGAAGGGGTCAACACACGCGGGAGTCAGAGCAGTTGGAAGAGTCTGCCAAGACAATCGAAATGCAAGTCGGCTGGCAGACTTAGGATCTTAATATGAGTTGTAAGTGTGCAGCATAGCTAGCATAAACATAGCATCCGTTTCATATCCGCATAGCATCTTTTTCTAGCTGGCGGTGGGCGCGTACGGGCAATTACGTGATCCGCGCTTCCGTGTGCCAAACCAAACAAATGCCATAACGAGTTTAGATCATAAAGGATAATTTTACTGCTAAGTATACGGCGTGGTTTGGAGCCGACCGGATGCACCTTACTACAAGCCGCTGCCAACAGTAGCATAACAATGCACCAACCTAGTTGTTTACCTAGATACTAGCGTAATTGAATTATTATCTTGGATTTTCGTTCGTTCTTCCTTTTTTCTGTTTTCTGAGTCCAGTGGTCCATGAACCTCCTGGCTCGTCTGGGCCTTATGACTCTAAAAGCTTAAAAACAAACAAGCAGACAATCAGCCCGTAGCTGACATCATTGCATTGATTATTACTAGAAATATTGAATTCATGGCGGGTGATGACACCTTGCCTTTCCGTAAGGCCTCAGCCATGGGTACGGTCCTAATAACGATCGCTGCGGCAGGTGGGTGGCCAGTGATGTTTTAGGATATTGATAATGGAGCTGAAAATTATCTGGCGAATCTGGGTTGTTAGAGTTTGCGGTGTTCGCTGTACCTTGCTTGCGGGTTTACCGGTGCGTGCGCTTGCTAGATCTCACGCACTGGATTTGCCGTAAGCAGGATGATAAAATGTTTCACCTCATATGAGAAGAATACGAAGGCGAGGTGCAGCTCTCTAGCGTCAAGCCTAGGCGCGCATGTTGGCAAGTGTGTCCTTCCTTACCTCTTGCCTCCTCCTCCTCCCCTCTCGCCTCGCAGTGCTGCTGTCGGTCGCCCGGACAGCCGATGCAGGACCGCCAATCCCAGATGCAGTCCGGGCAAACCCGCCCCCATCGCTAATTCCCAAGCGGTCCCCGCCACCGCCCAGCAGCTGCCTGTTCTGTGCCATCGTGTATGTCGCCTACCCCGCCAAGGCAGGGATCGATCCCAATGCGTGCACTGATTGCCAAGACCGTATTATTAGCGGCGTCAGATACGTTTATTCGGACAGCAACGTGGCGGTCGTCAACAGCACCTGCTCGAATGGCGGCCGGCGCACCACCGTCTGTATGTCCGTCCAGTCCTCTGCACTACCGGCGGTTCCTCAGCCGAGGGTGGATGCTATGGTTTTGAACTGGGCGGGGATGCTTCATTATTCTCTTCAGCCGTTCTGCGTACCCATGAGCACGATGGTGGCGGAGATTAAGTCCCGCAACTCCTGCCTGGCAAGCAAGCAGTCGACCACGCTGTACTGTGACCGATTCAACCCCCCACCGGCCCCTCGGAATATCCGCAACCCCCCACTGCGGGGCTAATATTGCGGTAGATGATGATATACATCAAGAACACACGCACACACACATACACACGCGCACGCACACACATACATACATATACACACATGCGCATCTGTTACATTCGTTACACATGTGCACGCACATATAAATGCTGATGAAGGGGACCCTCGCTCTTTTCTTCGAGTCGGGTGGTGCCCACACATGTATAGTTGTGATATACCCAATCATCCGGAATTATTGACGGTTGTCATAGGCACCTCACGGTGCTCCGCTCTGTCTGCTGCGGGCTCTGACGCCTCCGTTTTTTGCCGCCGCGCTTTGGGGAAGACATTTCCAAGTTTGGCTATTAGCAGGCTGCTGAGGTTGATTTAGGTGAGGCAGGGCGTCCTAATCATTTGTGAACGCTTTTGCCAGTTATGAAGACCAACAATACGTCCGGAGGGTAACGTTGGTAGCTTGCCGTACACCGAGCCGCGTGTAGCCCGCCGCCAGCAGAGGCGTACCGGGTTCGCTCCACGACATCTAGGGAGGGGTGTTTACCCCGGCCCTTGTATGCCCAACGGTGAAACATATTAAATTACTCTTTATATGGTTATTTTTGTTATGTTAGTTACAATATTAGTTACCCCAGCCAAAACCACCCCAGCCAAGACCAGCCAGTGTTCGGATGACTGGCAGCGTCTGCAGCTCTGGATGCTGTTGTTAAAGGGTAAATGTCGACAAAGGTGATGCTTGTTTCGTTTTTATTGTTATTTTGCGTTGAGCTAGAAGAGGAGAGGACTTCATGAGTTCTAGGATGGCGCCCAGTGTCCGAGGGGGTGGCTAATCCTGAAGTGCTGCAGTGCAGGTGTGGGGTCCATCCCGCTTCAGTTTTTGAGGCCTTAATATCGCCTTATTTCGTTTTCTGTTGTTGTTGTTGTTGTTGTTGAAGGTTTCATATGTACCACATATCATACGTGATTTAACGCACGGCTTTGAGCTAATGGAGGTTTGGTACCTGCCAGTGCCGTTGCGGGATAGTGGTAACCTTGTATGAACCCCCATTTGCCGATGGCCGGTGATGGGGTGATAGTATAAAGAGAGAGCTGCGAGCCGACCGAGAGTTATCGCAGTCGTTCATCATCAGCAGAATCACGGGATGCTGGATGCGGCACGGTGGTGGTGGTGGTGGTGCTTATGGTGGGTACTGAACCCGGAAAACGTCACAGACTCCCCCAACCTGCACTTGCTCTTCGAGGACGACGACCTGCACGACGGGGAAGGGAAAGGGGCAAAAGCAAAGCACGGTCACATACTTGCAGCGGTCGTCATTGTCCCCACTTGCATAAAAGAAACACAAAACGAAGCTGTTACTCAACCATCATTCAAAACGATGCGACTAACGGCACAGAGCGCGCGGAATGGCATAATTCGCAAAGTTATCAGCACCCACTGCCACTTACTAAAACACGCCAGCTCCATACGACTCGCTCGGTGTTAAGGCAGTCGCACCAGGCCGAGCCATCCACAGTCGTAAGCACGTACAAGAAGAAGGCAGCGGAAGGTGTATGCGCGAGTGGAAGGGAGGGGCAGGCAGAGTGCTTAGTGGGAGTGCTTAGCAGGCAGGTACGGTGCAGGAAACAGCAGTTCATGCCTCTGATGTTGAAGTCAGGATACAGCGGGTATACTGGGAATGTCCGGCTTCATCGTGGATGGCTTCAAGTGAAGGAAACACACACGCGCTCAAGCGCCACAAGCAGAGCTGCAAGGACGAGACAGGTGAACCAACACACGCAACAGACAAGGCTCCGCGCATGCAAAGGCACGTGCAATCATGTTCGACCGTCGGCCGTTAGCGCGTCTTTGCTGCGGGCTTTGGCTGACCTCTTTCCGAGGGTGTTTCGCTGTGCTGAGCTGAGCTGCTACGGGCTGCTGGTGGTAGTGCTACCAGCCGCCAGCCAAACATGAATGCATAGTCGTTCGGAACCATATCACGAAACACTCTATGGATGGATAGTGCATATGTGTACGACGCATAACACGGCACTGTGGTATGGCACGTTGTAGACCCGGGGCCACTGTCTCCCACTGCCAACCCGCTGTAGTCGCATCAGCCTCGAAACTCGATGCCAGGTGCGTTTTGACATCGGAAAACGCAGTGGCGCCGCAAACATTCCCAGAGAAGGTTGAAGACGGAGTACGGAGCGGCTCTGGACGCAGCAGAATTGTCGGGAACGCTAACTGGAACACGCATGGTGCAGGTAGGGTCGGCGGAAACGCGGTCAGGAAGGGGTTGGCAGACGTACAATTCAGGACAGGTAATTCATATTCAAACAAATAATTCTACTTATCTCGCTCATCAAACTTGTCAGGCGAACTTTTCTTGTGAACATGTAATATTTTCCCAGTATGGAGCGCTGTGGTTGTCCAGGGCTTGAGCAGCTAAACTGCAGTTCCATGGCTTACCGAGCAAATCAGACAGCATTCCGGCCGAATGTGGCACTTTCAGTAGGCAGTAGTCTCAAATCTGCTACGTTGACAACCTTGCGCATAACTGGCCCTGGCGGCCAATGTCTAATAGGAAGCTCGCGAAGTGACAGCCGAAACATTAAGTGTCGCGCCGTTGCACCGATAACCTTGAACTGGTAGCTCTGGCTCTTCGGAATATCTGAAGGATAGTAAACCTATTTATAGCCGCAGTTTTGACGGCAAAGCAGCCAGCTATGTTGGTTTTGGGACATGGATTAAATGTCCCAAATGTCTCGATATACACAGGTCCCTCAACATATCACCATGTCAGATTAAAGGTTCTAATGCAGCGGGCGCTCGTTAAATTCGCATGCTTGCTCTCGGACATATCCTCACCCGCCTGACACATGCTCACTGCGGCCGAATGGGTCACCATCTGTTATATAGTGGCAAATTGAGATGCGAACTGGTGGAGTTGTTAACCTAGAGTGCATGATGTGCCTTGACAGCGCACTTTATGTCTTCAGCCGTCTTCAGACATGTACTTCAGGCCGTTTAAGCCGTACATGTGAATTAGGACTGGGAATTACGGTAACGGTATTTATTTACGGTGTTGCGCATTACACCGTAAGCAATTACCACTAGCATATCCAACCACAAAACCTCCAACACCACAAGACATACACACATCATCGCGCGTGACGGAGCCTTGACTCATGAGCGCGTGAGAGCGTGCGACGGCCCCCACCCCCGGGGGGGGGGAAGGAGGGGAGCGGAGCTAGCGGACCTGCGGCTCACGGCTGCTTAGGGGTAGGGGGTAGGGGCCCCTCTAGCGCCCCTCTCCCGTCCGCGGGAGAGAGCTCAGGCGGTCTTTCCGTTGGGGCTGGGCAGCAGCCCCTGGCCAGTGTCGTCAGGCCCGGTCAGATACTTGTAACGTTCACACACACACACAAACATACACACACGCACATACACACACATACACACACATACACACACACAAGCATGACTCTTTCCAAGTCGCAATTACCCTCCTCCGCCCCCAAATATCATTAAAATAGGTGTCACCGACATATGGCTGTGAAGTTCAAAATGTGCAGGAATGGAAAAGATACATAATCAAATGGAAAGCTTTAAACTTTGGACATTACTGCTGCAGTCACATACACACATACACACATACACACATACACATGCAGGTACGTTTTTAAGCTACGATCGACATTTTTCTTTGCGAGGCGGCGTACGTACGTGCCGATCGGACGACTCACCAAGCGAAACCCCCGATCTACCGCAATCAGTACACTCACTTACTGCCACACTTACCTTACCCCCGCCCTCCCCTCCCCCCCCATACACAATACACACAAAGCTGTTCGGTCCGAGCTGCACCCCCCGTACACCGCCGCCAGCACCACCACCTCCACCAGCACCGGCTCTCAGAATTCGTCACCATCAGCTTCGTCCGGGATGGAGCTCTCGTCAACCAGCCCACCATCACCATCGCCATCACCCAGATCAGCGTCATCAGCTAGGCTGTCCGTCACGTAACGTTTGCCGCTGCGACTGCCCACACCGCCGGCGGCGGCGGCACCGGCAGTGCAACTGACTCCTG